TGTCTGATCCACTCGGTTGCTTGAAAATGACCTAGGTTTTGGGTGATCACTAGGGTTTTTTTCTTGTTTAATTTCGTTCCGGTCAATTAATATTATGACCTTGTAAATGTATTTCAATGAGTGAATTATGAATAATCTTAATGATCAACCCTGATCCTTTGATGTAGACCAACACTTGGAGCACATCCCACTCTTTTGATGTCAACAATCGCTGGTCCTTGTTTCCTGAATGTTCACCGTGTTTGTTTTTGTTCTACATTTCTTCATGCAATAGATCATCATTTGATTTTAATGAATTGACGTGAAAGACATTTCTTAACATGAAAATACTACACAGAGTAACAACCGCTTTCTCCTACTACAGCAATCAATCAGAGAGTTCATTATTGGGAAATCAAGAAGCAGTGAACAATTAACTCCTTATATCGAGTTGGTTGGACATGTTTATATACAGGAAAATAACTATATCAACCCATCTTACAACTCTTGAGGACTGGTTTTGACGAGGCGTTTTTATCAAAGAAGACACACATAATTTCATCTCTATAAACAAAATCAACTCTTTTGATAGGATTGGATGGACTATGTTTGTATGTATATGAAAATCACTACATGAACCCATCTACCAACTCTTGAAAACTGGTCTGAACGAAAGGTTTTCCAAAGAAGACATATATAATCTCATCTCCAAAACTAAAGTGTCCCTATTTTGCTACCAGATATGGTGAACAGTATGCATATACCATCTCCGACACAGTCCAATCGTAGCGATTTCTTTTAACAAAACAACGATGCACCTGATCCACGCGAAGTTGATTGTGTTTGATGATTTGAATTTGGGAAATCAAATAAAAGTGTGAAGATTACTGTGTTTGTTGACGGCACAACAATGTCGACTTCGTATATCTCTCACAACATTATTTCAAACAGCTCATACCGACCAAGAATCTAAATAATATTCATCGAGAATACTGTAGTGATATCATCAGAGAAGAGTGTTGGTCAGCTGTGCAATCGATGTTGGTCAGAACTACATCGGTATGTCACCATTAATCTCGCCAGCCAGAAAAGTGCAGACATTGTTTTGATGATTTTCATAAAAGTTTAAATTACGACTCTGAATCTAAATCAGAGACAGAAGCAACATCTGGAATATATATTACACCTTGGAATAGCCTATCTCTACCTCTTGTACAATGGCCCATGTGGAGAATCTCTTAGTTTGGCCAGTAGGCAATAGTAAATTGGACTATGTGACATACTGGGTATCCCCACCCTATGCCGACAAACTCGTACGGGGCTAGGGCATAAGTGCTGTGGGCCATTTTTAAATAGTTTAAAGACTCTGATTGATCTTCATAGTTTTGAAAAAAAATATTTCATGGTAATAGAAACTGATAGTTTTTTTATTTTTTTCCGTTTTTTTCATTATCTATAAATCTTCTTGCTTGTCTGATCTGTTTAAAATGGAAGATATACGATCGTATTTACGGTTTGCAGTACTTTTGAGATGGGACTATATTTGTCAACGAACAGATTATGGAATGCCCATATAACAATCAATTGTTTCAGTTTCCATTATTTCACTAATCACAATCGTTTCTTGGTTATAGTGTATGGAGGCATTACACTTTTTATTTACATTGATGTTAAAAGACGCGGACCTTGCAGAAGACACCTATGGATTTAAGATTTTCTATTGCTTTAAATAGAAGACCCATATTGGATATTTAAAGTAAAAAATTATTTCATTGTGACAATCTTTTTATTACCCACACCACTTCATCGAACGCGGTCTCATCTCATGAATAGTATTGAAGGCTAGCCTCATTAAGAGTAACGCCGGCTACCTTCACACTAATCATGGTAGTTGTATCATAGCGTTTCAAACAATACAGACTTTAAACAAGGGTTTCCGTGCATTGTGTCAGCAAAGCAAAGGCTGATTCATACTTTGTTCAATCACCTGTTCAACTTTTGCCGTAGCCATGATCTCTTAATTAGCGCTCTGCTTGAATTCAACAAAAGAACCTATACGAAGATCAAGACTACATACGGTTACATCACAATTCTAACAATTCAAACATAATCCGCTTACACTGCAGTTCAATTATTCAATGGCCTAAAGTCAAAATGACCAACATTTATGGGTATGGCACACTTTTCCGTATTTGTGTTCTCTTCCTTACGGCAAAGTTTTTACCCACTTCTAGTGGGTTTGAAAGCTTGTCCCCAGCCATTTTATTCATAAAATTCCTAGATGGGAAAGTGCACCAGCCCTTTTACCCAGTAAAGTAAAAATAATAAGCATTATCCTAATTTTAAATAATGTGTCCGGAATTTTATGTCGAATTTTACATTATTCTTACTTCTCCTGGAAAACTTCAACATACCTTAATGTGCGCACTGTTTCCAGAAAATTTGAAAGTACTGAACAGGTACTTCTGTTCTGAGCAAAGGGAAAATATGTATATATTTGTTTTTCAATAGAGACTTTCAACAAGTACGTAAGTAGTTAGAAAGGGTGAAATCAAAAATAAAACTTAAACAAAATTAATTTACTTTTTCGTTTCTTAAAAGTGAATGTATATAATATACCGTCCCCTATTTATCACAAATTTAGACATCTGTGGTCAATCAAATATTTAAAGGTGATATATTACGTACTGGTAGCTAAACATTTCTTATTAGAAGAACGTTGTAACATCGTGTCAATTTGTAATTTTCAGACATATCTCTGAATTGTTCTCTAACGTGTTGATTCTCATGGTTAACGTTAGTGGTCAATATAATTGGTCGCTAGCTTGATTGGTCGCTGAAATTGGTCGCTAGCTTGAGTTTGGTTATTCAGCCAAATCATGTCATGGATGAAAGCAGCGGCAGCAGCTAAAACACTTAATTAAATAAAAAAAAATTAAAAAACCCAAACTTTTTAGCTTTACTGATCCTGGGATTTAACTACTCGTTTAACTTAAATAATATTATCCCCCACACAAATTTTTTTACCCTGATACCGCAGTAAAAGTATTTCTAAGTGTCAGAGTAATGGGTTGTCGGTTTCTAGGACTGTCGGATTATTGAGTTGTCGGATTTATGAGTTATCGGACCAATGTGCCATCGGACTAATGAGCTGTCGGAATAATGGTTTGTCGGAATAATGGCGTATAACCATCGTCATCATCGTATATGTAAAACAAGACTTAATGAACAAAATGTTAAGCAGAGTTCATTCTGGTTCACCTTTTTAATTTACAAAGGTGAACCCGAATGAACTGTGCTAAACGGAAATGTTCTTTTTTATCAAACCTTTACTTGCTTGGAGGAACATAACAATCATGACTTTTATTTAGATATAGGGTACATCAAATTTCAAATAAGCCCCCTCCCCCACCCCTCCCGAATGCAATGAATATAACATATCCAGATATATTTGATATATTTATTCTTTCGAAAACAGAGGTTATTAATAAATATAAAAATCCGCCTCCGCATACTATAGGGGCCGTCTCGATCAAACTATAGGGGCCGTCTCGATCATACTATAGGGGCCGTCTCGATCATACTATAGGGGCCGTCTCGATCATACCTAAGGTACCAGCTATTTGTGTCATCGTTATAGACTTTCCAGCAACACCGGATTAGGAGGAGCAATTCAATTGTTTTTTTATTTCATTGTTTTATCTATTATTTGGAGAGAATTTTCTCGATCAAAGAAAAGGAAAAGGTTTGTTGTGGCCTAAGCACATACCATCTCGTTTGTAGAGATTTAGACTCTTGAGTTGGGTTAAATGTAATTATGCAAGACATAGGTAGTGCTCACCAATCTGTTTACCGGAATAAATGTTCTTCAAAAATGCTACATAAATATATATCTGAGACACTATGTTTGGTTGTATTATTACAATACTTGTCATTTTCCTCTTAAGAAAAGAAGTTATCAACTCCCTTAGGTATGGTTTGTAACGTTATATGGATTATGCGGAATTTTAAATGCCCCTTTTGGTCGTTAAGCATCTCAAGCATTCAAGGCTTTAACATTTTTTAGTTTAAGTGTTCCTTATGCAAGTAAGTCAAGTAAATGGCACTCGTCTACACCATCTGTTCAAAGTGAACTTAGTGTCCTAAGTCAGAAACCTGTTTCAGTGGTTGTCGTTTGTTGATGTGGTTCTCGTTTTTTCTATCGATTAGACCGTTGGTTTTCCTGTTTGAATTATTTTACACTTGTAATTTTTGGTCCCGTTATAGTTTATTGTTCGTTGTGAGCCAATGCTCCGTGTTGAAGGCCGTACTTTGACCTATAATTGTTTACTTTTTACACATTGGGACTTGGATGGAGAGTTGTCTCATTGGCACTTATGCCACATCTTCTTATTTCTATTAACATTTCTCCTTTGGTTTTCTCTGATTTAGAATTTACAATATCTGTCAGTCCGTACTTTTATTAATTTGTTCAGGTCATACGAACAACAACTCGACTCATCATTTAAATCATGACTATACCAGCACTGGTATTTTATGTAACGCCCCTCAAACTACCCTAATTTCAGTTTCAATCTGACAGAAATGTATTTAATTCTTAACTGTTAATTTTGTAAATAATAAGATGGTATCAATATGAAAATAAACTCGAACGAATATGCAGTTCACCAGGAGAGGTATCGACCCAGCAACATAAAACAACAGACAAACTACGCCCGAAGTCTTTTATGCGCTTGTCGAAAAGTTATTCCTCGACAGATACGATAAGAAAGAAAGAAAAGAAAGTATGAATTGATACAATATTGAGGGAATATCGCAAGTACCTAAGCTGACATGTGGAGGAACCCAACATAAAAATAGTAACGACTACATTTATAAATTCATACATAAAGCAACTTTATATTATGTACACGGATATTTATTTTCGACTTATATAAATGAACCGTTTAGTTATTTCAAAGAGACTATTGAAAACGGAAAATTAAAAATGGGTCAGAAGAAGAAAAAATGCTTTATTGTGGTGCTCCCTCACACATCACCCAATAACACTTGTATCGAGGTTTCTGAAATATAGTAGAAACTTTTATTAAGGTTTGTAAAATATTCTTTACAATTTGATAATTACATTAAGTAAAAAACATATGTTTGTCACTGCATTCAACATATTCACACATTTCAATTTCGCCATTTAGGAGTCTAAACGACTATGGGTAATTTCTTTGTTAGTACCACAAAATGAAAACAGCTCCATGTCGTTGGTTGAACTTTCATTGTTTATGAGGATTTAATCAATACTTTTTGGTATACATTTTTGATAATATTACCACTAGATTCGGAATTAGCAACTTGCAAGGCAGACATACTCATTTTAAGATCTCCGTACTTTATCTAGGAAATTAGTTGATAATAAACGGCAGACATTTTTATACCCTCCACATTCCTGCTGTGACTGTCACAAGTCAGAAACCTGTAATTCAGTAGTTGTCGTTGGTTCATGTCTCATATTTGTTTTTTCAGAAATTGTTATAAATTAGGCCGTTGGTTTTCGCGTTTGAATTGTTTCACATTTTTCATGTCGGGGCCTTTTAAAGCTGATTATACGGTATGGTTTTTTGCTCATTGTTGATGGTCGTTCAGTGACATATTATTGCTTATATCCACATCATTTGAACTCTGGTTGATGTGTGTCTTATTTGCACTTATACCACATATCCTAATTTTTGTACTGCAATAAAACTAGAAACAACATTAGGCTCTCTGAAAGAATATACGATTTCCGCTCCACAGCTGCTCACGATAAAAGTCTGATAGTAAGAAATAAATTAGAAAACCATGACGAGTTTAGACAGAAATTATAACAAGCAGAGAAAACTGTTCATCCAATACGATGTTTGGCCTCATTAGATGACAATATGAATTTCATAATTCCCGGGGGAAAAAACAACTTAAACTAGTTTAACCCCGCCACATTCTGTATGTGTCTGTCCCCAGCCAGGAGCCTGTTATTCAGTGGTCGTAGTTTGTTGCTGTATATTATATTTGTTTTTCGTTCATTATTTTGTACATAGATCAGGCCGTTAGTTTTCTCGTTTCAATTGTTTTAATTTTTATCATTTCTGGGCCTTTTATAGCTGACTATGCGGTATGGGTTTTGCTCATTGTCGAAGTTGTTTATTTCTATGTTTTTTGGTCTGTTGTTGAGTGTTGAGTCATTGGCAATCATACCACATCTTCTTATTTTTATACAATTAATTCACCCGATGTCATCAATGATTCAGAATATCATTGATATGTTCATTTCCGGTAAGTTTACTGTTTATAAAATGTTCAATTATTCGATCTCAAGAATATAAGATTTTTTCTACACACAGGCATATATTGCCTAAGTCGTATTTGACACATCTTTTCGAGATCTTTGGCATGGAATGCTTTTTAACTTTAATTTGGTCTTTTTAATTTATTCATTCAATCTCAACTATGAGTCTCATTTTGACGAAATGGTCGTTTGGCGTAACAAATTATACATGTTATACGCTCAGTTTTGTTAAGTTTGTTTCGATTCATTAACACAGAATATACCTTGATTAAATGATTTCAATATTGATAATTACGTGTTAAGGGTAGTCAGCTTTTAAACATGATCACATAAATTTGCTAAATTAAAAAAAGTGTCTCATGGAACTCAATTTAAAATTTTCCATATGTAGTCTTTATATCAAAGGTATTGACATTCATGGAACTTACTCAGCCTCACAAATAAATGGAACCGCTGTATCACAAGGGACATCATTCCAAAGTCCATCATGATTGACAGTGAGACAGTCCTCTCCAGGGCCGATATTATTTGGTTCACTTGGTTCCCAGTTGTGAGCAAGAATACCGGTCTGAGATGTTGACCATATCCATTGACCCTCGACGAAGAAGTCAGAACCACCAATATAGTAACGTGTAGCTGGAAGTACATACAAGTATTTTCCATTGATCAACTTACCAGTTTCTTTGAAATAGATAAATTCATCATAGAAACCAGGAGTAAAAGTTTTAAGACCAGACGCGCGTTTTGTCTGCATACCTTTCATCAGGGTTATGTTCGAATTAACGAAGTTTAAATACCAAATAAAGTATGAAGTTGAAAAGCATTGAGGAACCAAAATTCCAAAAGGTTTTGCCAAATACAACTTAGGTAATCTATTCCTGGGGTAGAAAATCAAAGTATCTTGTGGAAAAATTCAACGTTTTGTTAACAGTTCATTTATGATAATGACCATATCAATGATAATTCATGTCAACACAGAAGTGCTGACTTCTGGGCTAATTTTGCATAGTATTCATAAAAAAAACACTAATATTTCAAAGATTTGGCTTTCGTATGCATATGCAATTTAATATCTTTCTCAGTTTTGATTTTTAAGAGTCTTCCACGTGATAATTTGAGTTTGTTTTTGAATGTAAAAATATACATTGTTTCAAATTTAGATATGATGTTTTGTCGTACATTTGCCACTGTTACAAACTAAATCCAATATACAGATAATAATAAAGAATTCAGGCAACAGTAGTTTACCGATATTCATATCTCATCAATCGGTTAAGAAGAAAAACCAAGGTAACAAACAAAAATTGAAGGAATAACATAATTAACAGGAGCAATATCGATACACGCTTTTTAGTCAAATCCGTAAACAAACGTCAATTAGATAACTTCCTGTTTGGGTCAAGTGTCGCAAAAACAAAGGTCATCAGTAACGAGCTGAGAGAGAAACTAGTTTAAAAAGCGAATATTTTGAAACTTTGATAGATTATGATCTACTTTTTTAACACACAAATTAAAAATGCTTTGTTTGAAGTTTTTACGGTGGTTTGAAAATGTCTCTATGAAAAGTTTCCTGCAAAATACACAAATAGCGATAAGGTATATTGCGTTGATATTGTTAGCGTCTCTTGCAATGCATTCACTGCCCTCCATGCGCGGGAATCCACATTCATATGTAAGAAGAAACTTAATGTAAGAATTTAAACATTAGATTTAACGGTTTGTTGGAATATAAATGCTTACTTCCAGCTAGTCTGTTAAGTTCTCCTTTGATAAAATCAAGTTTGTGTTGGTCCATTGGCTCTGCTAGCTTATATCCAAATGCCTGACAATAACTCTGTTAAAAAGAATGAAACATAACAAGTATTTTAACTATAGGTGAATTATAATGTATCATGAATTTCAAGATAGTTATATAGCAATGAAGGTGGATCTCGATGATAATTTATCAAACAAAAAATGAAGACTTCCGCGGAATCAACATACTTCAAATTTAACATAGTTTATTTATTACTTGAAATTGGTTTGAATAGCTTACATGAACTTCGATTGCTACTAGAGAGGAACCTTTTCTGTTTCTTTGTTTTTGTGTATTTCGTAAACACATTAAAGTTACCAATATATAATTTAATTTTGGATGTAACGCGTCTTCTGATTGGCTGACGTTGTTTTGTTTATCAGCTCATAGACATAATTTTGTCATGTGACCGTGACGTCATCAACGTTTTTTCATGGTTTACTCCGGTTTAAAATGGAATTTAGAATTAAATTATAAGAAATGACTGTAATATTTTTTCTGTCTATTCGAAATAACATAAAAAATGTGGTGCACACTTTAAAATAACCCGCTACGCGAGTTATTCAGTGTGCACCACATTTTTGATGTTATTTCTTCATAGACAGAAAAAATATTACCGTCATTCCTTAATAAAACACTAGGTATGCATCCTAGCAATAAATGTCTCTTCAGTAATGCTTGGACGAATCAAGCCCTATCCAACTGAATTTTTCAGTTTGTTGTCAGGATGTACAGTTACACTTTTATCCCATGAAGTGTAGAGGGCTAATCACTAACACACATATTTAACCCCGCCACATTCGTCATGTGCCTCACCCTAGTCAGAAGCGAGTTAATTTTAAATTAGTTATCGTCGCGTTGGTTACTGACTGCCATACTTATTTTTCTTTTATTGTTTTGATCCTAAACCATATATACTATTTGGACAGTCATGACGGAGCTTTCAGACCCTAATGCATAGTTGAATTTTTTGAAGGACGTACGGTGCCCTTAAATTATTAACATCCTCACCTTTTGGTTTTCGGTGGATACGTCGTCTCAATGTCAATTGAACCACATCCCCTTTTTATATTAACGTACATTTTTAAGTTAAGGAAATAAAACAAATTTGCTTGAAACTTATTTTTATCAAAGACCTCACATGAGGCACGATAGAACAAACAATCAATATAAACAAACACACAATACATGAACAAAATTAAACATATGCACATTTGTTTTGTATCGACCTGATGAGTTAAGCCCTTTTTAAATGATTTTATAGTCTGTTCTTATATTGTACTGTTACACCACTGTCACAGGTTAGGGGAGGGTTTAGTGTCAGCAAGCATGTTTAGCCCCGCCACATTTTGTATATGTGCCTGTCCTGAAACAGGAGTGGTTTTCGTTTGTTGCTGTAAATCATATTCGAAATCATACCACATCTTCATATTTTTATATGTACATAATTGTAAAGGAAGGTAACTAACACTTACAAATAGACATTATAATTTTAAGGAATTTTGATAAGCCAACAATATGAAAATAAGAAGATGTGATATGATTGCCAATGAGACAACTCTCCACCAGAGACCAAATGATATAGACGTTAACAACTAAAGTTCATCGTACGGCCTTTTTCAATGAGCAAAACCCGTACTGCGTAGTCAGTATCGTTACTATTCATTAATTCATAGAGACTAACAACATTTCTGCAACATTGGATTATCCCCCTTTTACCAAAAAAAAATAGAATTGGCAACTATAGATAACAGCTCTGAGCTAAAAATACACAGTTTAGAATGCATACTACGTTTGTCTGGTAGATCAAATACTAAAGAGAGAAGCAAAAGATACCAGAGGGACATTCAAACTCATAAGTCGAAAATAAACTGACAACACCATGGCTAAAAAAGTAAAAGACCAAAAGACAAACAACAGTATACAAAACACATCACAGAAAACTAAAGACTGAGCAACACGAATCCTACCAGAAAAAACCGGGAATGATAGCAGGTGCTCCGGAAGGGTGAGCAGATTCTACTCCGCTTGTGGCACCCGTCGTATTGCCCAATAAAGTACAAACTCGGTATTTCGGTAGGTCACATTCGGAGAAAAGGTGGACGGGATTGTGGTTACGACAATTGGAAAGTATAATATAAAGGTTGAAACTTTAAAATGTAAACTATGCACATGTTTAAAAGTAATTGGACCTTGATTCAGCTGGAGGGCCGAATATTATCCTTCTTTATAAGATGTTCCAATGATATTACAAATATCATTGACTTACTAGTAGTGATTCCTTTGAACGGACCTTATTACATACAATAGCTTAAATCAACATTAAATTTGTTTTTTAATAAATTAAAACATCGCTAAACATGTATTAATATACAGTTATTGTCACTGTCCTACATCCTGCCGATACTCATATTTCATTGTTTAGGGTTTTTGTGCCCTAGGTGATAATTTAATGATTAAGCCTTTTCCAACTGAGTTTTATAGTTTACACTTATTTTGTGTTATTTTAACACTATCCACGGATAAGGGATGGTTCAAGTGCACACAAGCATGTTTACATCCGTCACATTTTAATGTGGATGCCAGGAGCATGTAATTTAGTTGTTGCCGTTGGTTTCTTTTTGGCTTATTTGTTCTTTGTTTGCTAGTTTAAGAATATATCAAGTTGATTTTTTCGTGTGAATTATTTTTCATTTTGACATGCTTGGTCTTTGATAGCTTACCTTATCTATATTTGGCAAAACCTTTCGGAAAGGTTTAGTCCTCAATACTCTTAAAATTCGGTTTTGGTCTTTTTTACTGTTTTGATTCGAGCGTCACTGACAAAACGCGCGTCTACCGTAGAAAATCATATGATTGGTATATTTGATGAGGATTTTACTATACAGTATGGAGTTTGTTCATTGTTGAATGCTGTACACTTTGGAAGTTTACATGTTTGTCCTTTGTCCTTTAGTCTCAAGTGGAAAGTTGTCTCATTGACAATTATACTGTACCTCCATATGTTTGTTTACTAGTACTATGATAAAGTAACAAAGTTAATGAACCATGACTGAGGGTTAAAATATAAGTATAATAAGTATACAAATATAATAAGTCAACTGCTAAATAACTGCCAACCAAATATCACTGAAAAGAAATGTCGAAAATCATAGTCAGTGTTATAATACACTAATAAAAAAATGTGTTACAATTATCGGTGAAACAATTTTCTACCCGACTCAAAATGATGTAAAAATTAGCAACTATAGGTAACCGTACGGCTTTTAATAATGAGCAAATCCTAGACCACACAGGATGCTATCAAACTCCCCGACATGACAAATGTAAAATAACTTAATCGATAAAAAGAACGACCTGATTTATGTACAAACAAGAAAACGAAATCACTAAAAGTCTCCTGACTTTAGACAGACACATACAGAAAGATGCAAATTTAAACCTGTTTGCATCCTAATTAACTTATTAGTTGTTTCCATAACACTTGGTTTGCGCGATACTGTAAATTCAGAAATTATTGCGAGATTTTTATTAAGGCGAATAATGCGACTGGTTGAGTATCGCAATAATAAGAACTCGCATTCTGATATCTGATATAATATCTGTATAAAGATTTTCTTGAAATCGCAATAATTAATCTTGCATTTTTTGTCCATTATTTAAAATCGCAGTAATAAATGCACGCAATAATTTCTGAATTTACAGTAATATAAATATACTAAGGATTTTCTACAAAGAATAAATTAAAATATCTGTATTTGGCAATATATTTTGAAATTTTTGCTCTTCAACTTCGTACTATATTTTTAACCTTTTCGAATCGAGCGTCACTGATGAGTCTTTTGTAGACGAAACAGGCGTCATGCGTACAAAATTTAAATCCTGTTTTCTATCATGTGATGAGTTTATCTGAAACTTGAAATTGCGCGAAACTTTATTTGATATTAAACTAATCGAAATCAAAAAAAGTAGTTCATCCCTGACATATATGAATAAACCGATTTAAGTTAGAAGCCTCACCAAGGGCTAAATATAGATCTTAATGATCTTTTTCACTGAAAATATTTGTATTGATATAGTTTTTTGTTAATTTTATTCACAAGCAACGTGTCTAGACTCGGGTCGATTTACAGCACGAAATTTGGCACCGGCTCTCGTTTGTTCTCATGACAGTTTATTACCCTTTAGGCATCTGTTGGATTTATATGAAGACTGAAAGGCTCGCCTCTATCAAAACTTGATGATGATCAGTTGCAATGGGAAATTAAGAGACATACACGTATTGACGTTTACATTGCAATTCGTAGTGGGAATCTTATTGTGTTATATGTCTACTTTGAGAAAAATGGAGATAGCTATATATCTGATATCCAAGTGCAATGGACTACCTCCTTATACAACTATACGAGATTTCTATAATCTACGAGTTTTAGTCAGAACTACACTCTCCGCACTCCTTTAGGATTATAATAGCTTGTTACTATGGAAAAATCAAAGAAAATTATTTTTATAGGGTTGTATCTCCACTTTTTTTCAGGCATTTTTGCTGTAAAATAATTGGTATCAAATTTATCTTAGTAATACTATACTTAAATTGGTTTACTCAATCTATGAATCATTCTTAGCCAATCCACTTATCCAGAATTGGGAATATTACATAGTTAAAAAGTTTATAGTCTACCTCCAATAGAAATGTAGGGATACATTTCTAAAACAACATTGTTTGAAGTGAAGTGTTTTATCTCCAGAAAAGGGTTTGCTTTATTTATCTAATTTGATTGTCTATTAAAAAAATGATAAATCGAACAAAGACTTCCTCTTATGTACGTACATTCGATTCCTTTACAACTGTGTATGTCTCAGTCAAATATTTATGATATTGCACTTTTAAATTTCATAGTCAATTTGCCAACAGTTTGACAAATAGGAAATACGTTATTATAACTATAAGATTCATACGACGCACTGTTCTCTTCGAGCTGTTAAATTGAGTTTTCTGTATACATGCATCGAATATATACTCACTGACCTATCAGTCCTACCGCTAACGAGTTCTCCTTGAAATCGAAAAGGAATATACACAATATTGCGAGGTAGGGATCTACTTAAACATGTTAAAGTTTTTACTACTTCAAAATTTGAGTAACTAAATTTCTGTTGATCTTCAATGGTGATAATATAAAATAAATTATAATCACTTTTTCGCATATTCTTCATATCTTATTCTGTGAACTATCGTTATTGTTTATCATGTAACGGATACCAACAAATCAAACATTAAAACCTAACAATATTACTCCGCGAAAAACGAAACCTTTTGAAAAGTGAACCTTCAAAAGCATTAATACAATATAGAAATAGACAATAATTGGTTTACATTTGTTTAGAATGCAGCATAAAGACAAAACTTATGTACTTAGAAATATATATACTTTGTACACGCAAGGATCTCTGGGAAACCCGTTAGTTTATAATTAACAAAAACAAGATAAAATATACTAACGTTAGCATCAGCCCAAGAACTTGCTACACCTTTACTGAAAAAGTAACATGTATCTCCATCTTGTATCCAACCAGACGGACAACCTAAAACACACACCTGATGATACACATTATATCCCTAGGAGTCTTAAAACCTTGTATACTCTTACTATACCTGTAGAAAAATTATTATAAACGGGATACCACATCCTTATTTTCATTTGCCTGTCCAGATCAGGAGCCTGTAATTCCGATGTTGTCGTTTGTTTCTGTATATTACATGTAATTTTCGTTAATTTTTTTTAACATAAATCAGACCATTAGTTCTATTGTTTGATGTGTTTTACATTTGACATGTCTATGCCTTTTATAGTGCGGTATTGGCTTTGTTTGAAAGCCGTACGGTTCCCTATAATTGCGTATTTCTATTATTGATTGGCGGTTGGTGTTAAATGCCACTTTCTTCAACCTTGCCTTTATCGGTGCGGCCAGCTATTCTTGGTATGAATGCCGGAATACCAGGAGAAACGCACCGACCTGCGTCAGGAAAACTGTCAATCCTAGTCAATAAAGATTGTAGAAAGTAGAGAGCACCTGTCACGTGAGGGGTTCGAACTCATTACCTCAGTGTTGGCAGGCTAATGATACTGGTTTCCTAATAAAACTGCACAAAATAATGATGATATTTCTAGCACACGGTTTTTTTTTGATTACGTGAACAATCTTTTATACCTTCTTGTTAATTGTTTTAATTACGCAACTGGATTTTACTCGTGAGCCTTTTTTTAAATCAATTTATTTACAGGACGGACTTTATATGTACTGCTAACATTGACCTTAACACATATAGTTTTTTCCTTACTAGGACTTAAAATTACATTGACGGTGCCAATTATATTGCATCAATTGTGCATTTCGACAATTACTGTTCTACATTGATGATCGATGCCAAAAGAATATGTAGATATTTAAGGCTATGCGTAGTCACGCGACTTTTGTTGTTGGAAAAATGAAGACTAATATTTGATCGGAAAAATTCAAAATAGTGTTGTTAATGAGTTATACAACAAAATAAATTAAGCGCATATGATCATGATATGTCGGTTTTAATAGATTGGAAAAACATTCATTTAGACAAGGAAATACATGATTGTAACTTTTGTTCCAAAATGACTCAACATATCAGCTTGTATATTATTTGGTAAAAATAAATAATCGTTATCAAAAAGATAATAAATACAAGAAACAAGATTCACAAAAACTTAAGATATACAAACAAAGAAAAACAACATCAAACAACCTATGGTCCATATTGTCTACATGCATTTCGTGCAGACGGCACACGGGTTATTGAATAACCTTCATCGGGTTCGACTTTTTAAAAGATAAGTAACGCTTCTTTACATAAAATGTACAGAACAACCAAAAATAGTTTCAAATTAGAGGCACCAGAAGTTTACCGGTGTTCCAACTTTTTGAAGATATTTACAAATCAAAGTAAACATAAAAACTGAGGGAGTCGAATATACTCCAAAATGGAACAAATCCTGGTGCGACGACTGTTAAGCGTCTCCCGCTATGCACCCATCAACTGTCAATTGAATGCGAACTGAGTAAATTACTCACTCCAATATTATTATAGAAATGTCAATGAGATATTTTATGTTATACGCACCTAACACATTTACAATCAGTAGTAATGTTAATGCAATGTAAATCTCCATAGTTTGTTTATAAGATTACAAATGTGAAATTAACATGTGTTGTTATTATCTATTGTGCCTTATGAAACGTTGTCACAATAGATCAAAAGACAATTATCTATAGGATTCCATTTGTTTTATACAGTGCATATTGTGTTCATATATAAGAGGGTCTGGAATTTGGGTCCTTCATGTTTTTGTTCTCTATTATATTAAACAAGTTTGCTCTGTTCTGTGTCTATTATACCCATCATTCTCTTTTATTTATATCATAGCACCCCGTAATTGTCTGTTTTTAATTCATTTTTGGGTTTATCCGTAAACGGTTAATGTTTATGACTGAACTAAATTATTCAATTGATTGAATAAGTCATGCATATCAGAGGGACTATAAGTTATAAACAAAATATTAAATCCTTGTCATCTGCAAGGACGAACAATTTTTTTTACATACGTCAAATACATTTCAATTATAAAATAATTTTCGGTTGTCTTAATGTAGCCGTAGTAGACGAATACAATTATATAGTTAATTTCAGAATTTCGAAAGCTTTGATTTTGATTTCAAGCAAATTCACTCGTTTTTGGGGTAGTTTTCTATGAAATTTATATTTTTTTAATTCATAACATTTTCTAAGAGCATGGAAAACCATTTTCGGTTACCGTAATGTAGCCGTAGTAGACGCATACAATATCATAGTTGATATTTTAATATATAACATTTTCTAAGAGCATGAAAAATAATTTTCGGTTGTCGTAATGTAGCCGCAGTAGACGACTACAATATCATATTTGATTTTAGCATAAATAAAAAAATGCATGCATAATCGACAACTCACAAAAATAAGAATAAGTACCGTATGAAGCCTTTCTAGGCAGGTCTCTAATGTTCTTTTTAGCAAATAGGTTTCGGCGAACACCAAGGATGCCACATAATCCTTTCGATTCCAAATTTTTGGTGTTCAAATTTCATAATTCAATTAAGAGAACAAATCAAGATAACAAATATTAAAAATGAGGAAATAACATGTTCTCCAACGTGATTGGTTTTGGCATCCGCCATTCATATCAACACTTAGTTGAAATGTCACAATCGGGAATATGATAGATTAGACGATTATAAATACAAGTTTAAATAGAATATTTGGCAAAAACAAAATTTTAAAATTAAGAAGGCTTTGATGTTGATTTCATGCAAATTAACTCTTTTTTGGGGTAGTTCTCTATAAAATTTGTATTTTTTTTAATTTAAAACATTTTCTAGGAACATATTGTTACTTTGTACATCAAAATAAATTGTCGGGTCTAAATTATGAGAAATATAAGTTTACAACTGCTGGAACTTTTGTCGGCATAATTTTAGGTTGTCAATATTTCTTCTTCTGTTCGAAAATAACATAGTGGTATTACAATTTAGTTCCTTTATTATCTTTCGATGGATTGTTTTACATAATATGTGAGCAATATAATAACATCTGTATTTCAGTCGACATAAATAGGACGTCAAAAGTTCGTCTTTGACTAGAAAATCGGGAAGCGGTATTTCAATTCAATACTTTTTCTACCTCAAAACAATATAATTTAACGGTTACGTAAAGCTTTGTCGGCAATCATCTTAAGTGCCAAAATTTCTTCGCTTCTTTTGAATAACACGAACTGCTATATAATTTACTACTTTTGATATCTAAGGACAGATTATTTCACCATCAAACAGTTTAAGGAGAAAATAAAATTGAGCAGCAAACGGTACAATAGAAATAAAAAGGACAGAAAGAATCAAAACGACAGGACGGGTAGTGTGTGGGAGGAACATGGAAAGTACATGTAGGTGGATGTGGCTAAAGAAAAAATACAGCCACAGAAAATGTTATTTGATTGATTTTTTCGCGATTCGTTCTTCCAGTAAATAAGAACCACTAAACATAAATTACAAAACTCATGCTATAGAGGAGATAAGGTATAAGGGTAAATGCATATGATTTATAAGTTAAGAAATTTCTTTGTTTTTCCTTTGTTATAAATAAATTAGATAAATAGGACTTGTTGTTTTCATAATTTTGTTTTACTTATATGCAAAACGACATCATTGAATCAAAACAGTCTAATCACTTTCAGGTGGATTTAAATCAACACCGAGGCTTTAAACAATTCTGGAACTTGTTTAAACAATTTGGGAACCTGTTTTGTAAAACATTTTTCATACTTTTCATGATTAATGCGAACTAATTGTATTAAAGGTCCAGTTTTTTCCTCTGTTTTTTGGAGGGTTTTCTTTTCTTGTAACTTCAAGATTGCAGCAGCATCATTAATGTTATATACAGGAGCATCATCAATAGTATCCGCACCTCTGGTTGCAGCATTATCTGTGGAAATTTCATCATCTTCCGCTATAGCATCGTCTGCATTGAAATCCATTTTTTAAGTTCAGGTTCGTCTACTACTCGCACAGAAAGAGATTTGACCGGCCCTACACCAGACAGCAGATAACCAGAAAGCCGGAACACCTACAGAGAAAACGTAGGAAGCTTAACAGACTCATTACAGAATACCAAGTCTCCGTAGAACATGCAATTGGCGAATTGATTAAGTTCAGGTTCCTCTACTGCTCGTACAGAGAGATTGGACCAGCCATACACTATACAGCATATAACCGGAAAGCCGGAACGCTTACAGAGAAAATGTAAGAAGCTAAACAGACTCGTTACAGAATACCGAGTCTCCGTATAACACGTTGTTGGCGCATTGAAATACTATAAAGTCATAGGAACTCCTTGAAGTAATATTAGTCACAGAGTTCAACCTATAGTTGACGTTTGTGGTAGTTTTGTCAATGGACGAAAACATCTTTTTAATTTATACTATGTAATAATGATTAAAGTTCATATGTTAAGATCGGCCCGTCATTTAACCTGTTTTATTCTGACTCATATTCATACTCTGGTCGGAGTCATACATTTATTGTAAATCTCTAATACCAAGTATGTCATTATTATCATGATTATCTCGAAGTTTAATTTTTTCTCGGTTAATATTGATTATAGTTTTGCATGATCTCTCAGTTTAAAGGTTCACCACCCAGTGATTTGTTATGGATTTTTTGAATTTTTGAATATTCAGCAATCCAATTACTTTTGTTTTTTAGTTTTGAATTCTAAATCTAAATTCTTCTGATATATGGCCTGTGTTATCAATTATGTCGTTTATGAATAAAATATCAATTCCAATCCATTTGTCAAAAAACAAACGTTTTCCTTTAATTGTATAAAACTATTGTCCCACATTATTTGTTTAATGATCTCTAAAAAGGTACCTATTTGATAATTGTTAGAATCATTCAAATTTATCAATGAATTTATCAATGTATTGTTCCGTGTTTTTATTTATCAGGGTAATCTTACTTTTCTAAGATTAATCCTAAAAATTAGCAAATGTTTGCCAAACTTATGCATGTTATTAAGGTAAAATTTAGGCAACAAAGACCAGTTAGCATTTTCCGATTGTATCATTTTTTTAAACAGCACACCTCTGTTTAAAATTTCGTATTAATCCGCACACGTGCAATGTAACAAATGTGATCCAAGTTTGTCATAGATCATACATGGGTAAACCCCACAATAAACAGGTGTTTGTACAATATGCCAATGCTTTTCAACTGCGGAATTAATTTTACTTTTCGACCGTTTTGTTTAGATCGAAATATTTGTCGTTCAAAGACGGAACGCACGTCTATTGTTCTTAATCTCAAACCTGTTATCTTTGAAATTTGTTTTTGTTTTTATATATAATGGAAAATAAAACTGGAAAACAAAGAAAATGTTGAGAAATGATACCGCCCAGAGGAATTAGATCCTTGCGCTATTTTTGAGTAACGATGAAGTACCACCTAACCAATATTTTTGATCAATATTTGAGTCAAACGACTTTGATGACAGGGGCCCAAATATATTAGATACTATTCCAATGTAGCTTACGGACGTCATTAATATGATCCAATTGTTGACGCCAATAATGCTATCAACACGAACATTTTTAAGAATTAAAGAGGGTGCTGAAAAAAGTAAAAAAATACGTTTGCTTATCCCTTGCATACAATCTTCGAAAAATCCGTACAAGGCATACAATATCCAAACAATTATTAAATGGCTCACGTTTTTAAGAGTGATGACAAGTTTTATTGTTTCCAGTCATAGGCCTATTGCGTCGGTCTATACAATTCGTAAAATCTTCGAAGAAATTGTCTAAAGTACATTAGCAACATTCTTTGAACATCGTTAAACTACTTAATTTGTCAAATGATCGAAGAAACTTCTGGTTTATTGATGTGTCATAAATCGCTGTTTTTTCGCTTTAACTGTTCCACATCTTGTCATGTCGGGCCGTTTGATAACTGACTATGCACTTAAGGTTTTTCTCATTGTTGAAGGCCGTACGGTGACCTTTATTTTCTTAAGTCTTTTTCGTATGGACGTTTACTAGTTGTCTCATTTACAATCATATCACATTTCCTGATTTCAAATTTTATACAAATTGTAAAGTATATATATACCTGGCCATTCAACGTCAAACAAGCTCACAGAGATCACTCACTCTATTTAATGGACACCAAATATTTAGTACTTTATTGTTTAATGATGTAATCAAAGTTTTTAAAGAGTCTTTTAATGTTGATTTCAACTTTCAAATTATCAATTTTCCATTTCTCAGCACTTCCAAACCTGATGATCCATCGTATTGCGTTAACATATCTGTGTTAATTTTGGTGCAAATTCACACCATTCGGACTTCATGACAAAACAAGTGCTCCTCACACAAACAAAACTGCTCCAACTGCGTTCTGAGGAAAAATGACTTAATAAGTTTTACGATCAGCATCACGAACTGGTTGACAAATTCGATGTGTCAGTGTATGAGTTCACTAGCAACATGTTTTCTTGGTATCAGATACCAACAAAGTTGTTTGATCTGCAATTGTATCGATTGTGTCCTAATCCCGATTGTGAAATTTGACAGACTGTGAATTCCCATGGCGGGTGATGCATGTATTGTTGAAGACGCTCACCATATCGAAGCACCTGGTATCGCTCCTTAAGGATTATATGCGACTCCCTCACTTGAAATTCACCTTAAACGGGTTTATATGTGAAAATCACGTGAACTGATTTCATTTAAATCTCATGTGAAACTCACGTAATTTCACGGGAAATTCAAATGAATATTTTTCACATGAAATTCACGTGAATTTTCAAAACAAAGTAATTCAAATAACATCTGAATTTTGAAATCTAACAAAAATCATGAAAAATACCCTTTTGGGGGGTATAACTCACGTGAAATTCACATCGAAATTTTCACGAGAGTTTGACATATAAGCTCGTTTCAGGTGAACATCAAGTGAGATTAATGTGAAATTCATGTGAGCAAAACACAAAAACTATCAACTTTGTCGTCGCTTTACAGTTATACATTTGTTCCATGACGCTTATACCTAAACAGATAATAGTATGTCATTTGTCATTTGTTCATTTTAATCGTTACTTTGCTTCATTATATAACAGATACGAATAAAAATACAGAACCATGACAAAAATAACATTAACTAAGTGGTGACGTGAAAATCATTCTTTCGTAAATTTTACGGACGCCATCACGAGTTGGTTGACCGTTATGGAATACCCGTTTCACAGATGATAGCGGATATGTTCCAAATGTCGTAACTACAATCCCGTCCCCTTTTCTCCGAATGTGACTGACTGAATTATACTTATTACCAGGTTTGTACTAACATGAGAAACACGACAGGTGCCACATGTGGAGCACGATCTGCTTACCATTCCGGAGCATATTTTATCTACACATGACTCATCGGCGACGCTCGAATGAAAACAGTTGAAAGACCAATTCAAAAATAAAGTTGAAGAAAGTTGTATACTCAAAATTTGAAAATGTTATGTAAGTTTTTGCAAGCGCCATAGATATGGTTGCGTTAAAACGACCTTTAAGTTACGAATAATTCAAAATGTTAAATGGTTAAATTATAGACATGACCGTATCACTACTTAGGAGTACTGTCTCGTCGTCAATTCAGTAGTTAAAACCACAACCATGAGCATGAATACAAATACTGTAAAGACAGCTTTGACAAAAAATTGACTACTGTATGATATTTAAAGCATTAAGATGATTGTGTTAATATAAAAAATGATAATATGAGTAAAAGGAAATTCATTGGTATACGCTAGTTATACAGCAATGTAAAAACGTAGACAACTAAAGGGTTACGGACAACTTTCCTAAAAAAAAAATTTCTATAAAATATTTTGATAAACTTAAATTTTCTTCAATGTTAGAAACAAGTGATGAATTTAAAATGGACAATGAAAGTTCAGCAACTTTTCCAAAAGCCCTTAGTCTCAAAGATTCAACCATATTAATCACGATTATAAGACATAATACCAAGAAAAGTATGCATGTTTCATTCCGATAGATAAAATTACTGAATGTTCCTTTGGTATCCTTTGCTACTCATACACTTACTGAAAGTGTCATGAGATGATTAAAGCTGCAAATTTTATCCCTAACAACATTTTTGTACGTTTTGGTAATACAGTTTATCGACAGGTTGTAGATATTCCTATGGGCACCAATTGCGCCCTTAAATACCAAAATTATTCCCGTTTTGTTTTGAATCATTGCCAAACTCATTAAAGACCCTTCTAAATGCCATTTAATTGATATATTCAACTTACCGTTTTCTTGATGATAATATATTTACACACTTCATTTGAAGTAGAAAACACACTACCAAAAGAGGATGATTCAAAACGTTTCTCTGCTAATATTCCAGAATTCTCTTGCATTCAAACGGGGCATGTAAATACATGCAATGTAAGACATTTTTAGATGAGCTTCAAAAGAATGTAACACCATTCTTAAGCATCACATTACAGACTACAAGAGGCAGAAGGTCAAGTTTCATTTGATATGATTTGATTTGTTAAGTTTAACTTAATTAAATGTGGTATAAAATTGAGAACTGAAACATATTTTGCCGCCTATTTCCTTGTAGTAAATTGAATGCCCTACCATTGGTAGATTTCCACAGGGTTTACCAAATGTGTATTTAAAGCGATCCTTATGTATGGGCGCGTAAGTTCTAAAACAAACCCGCGTGATTTTGGTTGCCAAGCCTGACAAATGGTCCACAAATAAATCATGTTAAAATATTCCTTACGAATTTCAAATCATTTAAATGTGTAAAAAAATGAAAGAAGTATGAACGTATGTAGTTATATTAATATTTTTTGTTAATTGATATTTTCAGAATTCTGTCCTTAACGTCAGAAAACAGAATATCTAGTTTTTTCATGTTCTATTTTAGTTGGGTTTTTTTGTAGATCGGGTATTATAGTAAATCA